GGAAAAATTCAGTATGAAGAGTGAGCTGCAGAGTGTAAAAGGCTTCAGAGAATAAATCATAGTATTCCTGAAGAACAACATTTTAAAAAATTCCCTCTTAATGGCATTTGAGAGATTCCTAACTTCAAGTCACTGCTTGCTGCTACAAGAAGCTCTTTCACTAATCTCACTGCTTAACAACAGCAGCAGTCCTAGAAATTCTGACATTTCTGTCCTTGAATGCTTAGAGGACTAGTCTGAGTGGACTTGGTTTGCAAAGCAAGCTCTGCACACTCACACAGAGCCAACATTTGCAGCTTGGTATTTAGGTAGTAGCTGACGCCAGTCTGTCCTCACTGTTACAAGGAGGAATGAGACACTGATGGCTGTGGACAGAGCTCTCCCAAGAGTCTGAAGTCTCAGCTATCACACGCGCCAGAATCATTTGAATCACAGAGCTCCCTCCAGGAAGCTGAAGCCTAGGCCATGAAGGACGACCATCCCCAAAACAGGCCACTACAGCTTGCCTTTTTACAAGGAGAGAGAACCTCCTTTTTCTTACTGGTGATTTCTCTTGGAAGAAAATGAAACAAGAGGAAAGAGATGCATAAAAGTCCTCTGAAAGAGCTAGACCTGCTTCATCCCTAGGAACCTGCTCATGAAATGAGCACAAAATGACAGCTATGATGAACAGACTCCCAGAAAGACAGGGGAAATAGAAAGAGAAAACCAAAGCACTGGTCTTCTAGTTACAGGCAGAAAAGCCTGAAGTCCAGTTTAGAGAAAGCCATAAAACGTCTTAAGAGCAACACAAAAAACACGACTGGAACATCTACCCAAGCTGCCTCTCCACGGATGGAGCGCAGTGAGCTGAGCTGACGGGAGCAGACTGACAGAAGGGGCAAGCCAAACAAGCACAGTTTGCCACGTAGCCACTTCATTTCAGGGAGGTCAGTTACTGAAGGGTGGGAGTGAAAGCAGAAACGGGAGATGGGCTCATGTCAAGCAGACACGAGAAGTGAAACACAAACCCTGCAGCACTGTGCAGAACAGCAGGACCAAGAGGCTTTACCTTCACCTGGAAAAAGGAGTCAACAAGGTACTTCCTACTGAAACCTTAGTGAGCAAATCCCCATTTTTAACCAATTCCAGACACAGGAATTCTTTCTCTGAATGGCCTGCAGGCAAGTCAAGCTTTGTATTTCTACAATTCTGTTAACATCTTTCCATATCCATGCTCTTGCTTCCAGCATTCCCATAAACTCATTGCCTTGCTAGAGTTGCAGAGGTACATGGTGGCATTGGACACAATTTCTTCATCAGCTTATTTTAACATCACAAAGCTATCAGGAATGTCTTATTTGGGAAAGACGTGTTGATTCAACTACCTTGCCAGAAATCAGGAAAATATTTCATTTTAGAGGGAGTGACTTAAAAGAAAATAACTCTGAGCTCTAGAGCCATTTTTGTTCCTGTTCATACTTTACAGAGTACCTTAGAAGGAAATTCTTCCATAGTACTGGAAAAAGCTCTCCGATAACTTAAAATGTTAGTTTATTAAATGGAAGAGCTTGCAATTCTAACATGACAATTCCATCAATAAAAATCTATTTCTCTTCATGGGGATGGTGAAAATTGCAGAATATCACTAAACACTGCATTTTCTAGGTGAAGGAGTACCTAGTATTTCTGGGTTGCAAAGGGGGTTGCTTTGCTTTGTGTCTTCATTTTTACTCAAGAGAAGGCTTTTTTTCCCTTCTTTTAGGATTCACATTTATCAAAGGAGCAATAAAAGTGTTTTGTAATACTGACCCCCCTGCCTTCAGAAATTCCTGTAACATAAATAGTTATTAAATACTTTAAGGCAGATCACTATTTAAAATATCTATAAATATAAAATGCATTAATAGGACCTCTTAATGCTTGTTTTGTGGTTTGACAGTAAACGTAATGGCTTACAGAGAGGACTTAAGTTAATAAACCCCTGACCAGTAATGTTCTATTTGCTTAAATGCGAGCACCCATGCCAAAATTAACATTCTGGTTTCTTTTGGAGGCAGTCTGCCATCCTGCCGTGTAGCTGAATAAGCAAAGCCTAATACAGGGCAAATCCTGGCCCCCAACAAAGTCACAGAAGGGCAGCAAAGCCCTCCTGAAGCAAGTGGGTAACAAAGACCCTGAGCAGCAAGGAAGCCTTTACCTGGAGGATACAAGGGGCACAACCCACCGATGCGACATCCAGAGTCACATGTAGAGTCACACTACACCCACTGCCACCACTTCACAGATGAGAAACTAAATTACAAAGATCCACCATGGCTGGTTTAGGAAATACCCAAACCCTGCAGAGCACTGAATTCTATTCTGGCCTACCTAAATCACATAACTAACCTATTTTCCCTCCCGAAATGGATTTTCAGAATTATTCTTCAACATCTCGTGCTGTGGTGAAGAGCTGCTTTCATTAAGGCAAATTGAATGCTAAATTTCTCTTTAATTTCACTAATTTCATAACCAATATTGTCACTGAGGCAGAGGCTCGAAGCATATTATGTTCCAGTGTGAGAATGGAGGTGGCCAAAGGACAGTGCCTCTTCCAGTGCCCTTCCAATGGCTGCAAGGCTGAATAAATTCAAATGCTATCAGATATCAGCAATACCACATGGGAGAGCCCCCAGGAGCAATGACTTAACAGCGGGAAACGTTTCAGCTGGACTTTGCACCTTACAAGATGTCAGACAAATGTGCTCCTCAGCCAACACTCCTCTCCCATGTATATTCTCCAGTGTCTAATAAAGGGGTGAGCTCACAGTGCAGCATCAGAATCTAGCTTAAAAGTCTATCAGCCAAATCCACTGGAAACTAAGCTTCATTATTTGTTCAGTAAGTGGGTTTAGGTGACCCAACCCATTCAGCAGCACCTCCCCAAACACACTCACACCTGGCAAGCTGGCCTTTCCCAGACACTCTGCGCTGCTCCTTGGTCTGGGCAGACAACAGTTATTCATGGGCATCTTTTGTTTAGCACTTGGTCTGTCAGCCCTGGTAACTTTCTGGGCTGACAAAGCTACACAGCACAGATACACACTAATGGCTACACTAAAACATTTGGTGTTTCTGTGCTAGGTGGGGAGCTATAGTTTTGAGAAGACTGAGGCTTGTGTGTGTCTCCAAGCAGATACATCCTTAAATTCAAGAAATTCAGTAAAGCCTGAACTAATGATCACTGACGGGTTTTTTGAAAAAAGACATTTCCTATGAACAAGTTGAAATAAATATACAGCAACAATGAAGCCCTGTTAAGTGATTATTTGCACAGCATGCCAGAAGAGAAGATGTGTAAGAAGGGACAGACAGACAAGCAGCTTGTTAATGGGAAAAAAAATAAAACTAAAAATAACAATTAAACTAACTCTTAGCTTAATAAGTGGAGCATTTCTCTCTAGGGCAGCTGCCTCACACCAATGCTTGCTAAAGGAACACAAGACCTCTCACAAAGCCCTGCTGCACAGAACATCCGTCACTGAACTCTTCTTTTGGAAATAGTGACCAAACAATTACCATTCAGAATCGGTATTTCTTCCCGGCCAATTTGCTGCTCACAAATGACAGCAGAGCAGTAGTCAGGAAAAGGAACTGTCCCTGGATGCCACACTACCACAGGCACAGGAAGCCAAGCTTCCTCCAAGACCTCCTTGTGCAAGTGTCTCTGGAAGGACCCCTGCCGTCCCCGAGCAGATTTATCAGTGTCCACAACAAATTTAGCCATTGTAGTTTTGCTATAGCTGCCAGCAAGCGAGTGAGCAAGAGCTGTCAGAGATTGTGGCCCTTGTCAGTTGAGATTGAACATTTAAACTATCCCAACAGCTAACACCTTTACACTCCTACCTCATCTGAGCTTGCCATTCATTTTCAGAAGACTACCTACTCCTGGCAAATTCCCTGCAAAATCTCTAGGATGCTAATGAAGTCCAACTCCATCCACTGTTCAGAAGCATTAGGACTGCTGCTACATAGGACACAGAAGATCCTGGGGGGAGAGAATAACATCAGCCGAAATTTGCACAGATCAGCAGTTTGGTGCTGAGCTTGCAGTGTTTTCTACAGCAAGGGAGGCAGCTAGGCTATAATTAAAAGTCAGATTTTTTCGCTGTCTTCTCTAACAATTTCACTTTTCCTATGAGAATGGCCCAGAGGAAAAAAAAAATCTTAGTAAAATCTTAGACTTTAAACTACTCTCATAAAGCAAACATCCCCTCAAAGTCTTCAGCAACCCAAAAAATGTCATGTCAGATGAGACCATTTATCCATTCTGGGAATCTCTTTCCCACAGTAAGCAGCAGCACTATAGAAAACAGTAGAAAACACTGCTCCTGAAGAATTACTGAATGTTTTCTAAAAGGAAAGTTGTAATTTTAGTTTTTAAAAAGTTATTATGATGTCCTTCATCAAATACATGGAGTCACACAGCTGGGGCACAAGAAAACCAGAATCTTTCCTCAAACTTCAAGGGTTTCAAAGTTTTCCAGGCCATGGAAGCTGCCCTTCTGGAAAGCCTCTGCCCCACACCTGCCCTGCTGACTCAAGAACATCCTAAATTCACTAGGAAGTCTTTCATTTCACCTGGCAGAGTTAAACTGAAAACAATCAGAGAAGCAGCTGATGCTACACATGGAGAGAACACCTGCACTACCAGCCCTGGAAACAGCACTGTCTGTATCAGAAACTAAAATCCAGGCTCGCCCAAGGTGAGCTGCACTCTCCTGAAGGAGACTGCCCAAGCTTGAGACAAGCTCACCAGGCTCATTTTCACACAGCCAAAGGTTCAGCTCCGCATTGCCACATTCATACTTATGTGTTTCAGATCAGACCTAAACATGGAAAAGGGTTTTATTATCTAGTTTACACATGTATAAAAACTCAGCAAAGCCAAACCAAAATGTGCTATCCCAATCAGCTGCCAGGGAGGCCAGTCCTGACCTTTGTGCCTGCTCTTCTTTTTGGAAGAGGTGGATACTCACCATGTTCATAACCGTGAGGATGAATCTTTGGGCAGCCTCTGCACCATGGTATTGGACCATATCAGCATCTGCCACCACCAGAGTTTCTACTGTGTACTCGTTGGTGAGTCGAATGGCATTTCTTCTCTCCCTCCAGTCACTAGTTGTTTTCATCTTCTTTTGTCTCTTCTTTTCTAAAAGGCAAACTAGTTATTAAAGGACATTCTAGCTGCACCAGGCAGATTATAGTAAAACACGCTCAACTAAGTGTTGTACAAAACCATATTGCATTGATTTTTAATCAAAATGTCCTTTGGACTTTAAAGAAGCACCTGAGAGGTTTGATTACAAGTAAAACCGCCTCTTTCTCTATGTGGATTTGTGGATTAAAAGAAAATTTTAAAAAAATATATGTGAAAAGAAGAGGGGGAAAAGGAGAGCGCAAACAATAGAAAATTAGCTAAAATTCAAAGCAAGAAGTCACACTCTTGGGAAAAAAAATATGTATATATATACATATACAGAAACCACAAACACTGTGTCTAGTGACAGAAGTACCATTCTGCTACATAGGAACAAGTGATAATTATGGAAAAGTCTGCTGAAAAAAATAGGAACAGAGATTGTGCTGTGGCAAGGTAAGATATTCCTATAGTGAGCATTCTTATCAGTTGCATTTTGATTTGCTACCAGCACTACTACAGCACATTAGCAGAAGATAGGTTTGAGAGTTTTTTGTTGTTGTTGTTTTGTTTTTTAATTAAGTCCGATAGTTTTGTAATATGAGGTACTGGCCAACTGCAGAAGTCCCTGGATGAAACCCAAAAGTGCAGAAGGTCAGGCTAGATAAGACCTTCTCAAGCTTTCTTTGCTCATTTATTGCTATTGGCACAAGTATTCAACCAGCAGCTGCAGTCATTGGCCACCTACATGGAGTTCATACACCTTCTTGTTGGGATCTGTGTAGCAAAAACAGGGGACCCCCCCAGACTAGCTGGTCCTTAACAGATGTCATTTATAAGGACCTGTGAAAAAGGAGCCATTCTTAAGGACTGCAAGAAGCAGCAGTGGTCAGTGACTACTAACCCAAAAATTAAAGCATGGAAGTTAACCATTAAAACTCCCTCCCTCCAGTCTAACAGACTAAGGCACTAGGAGGTTGTCCTCTTCTAAACTGAGAGGCAAAATGAGTTTCACAGCCCAAAGGCAGATGTGCAAAACAGCTGAGGCAGGAACAAAGGAGAAACTAAGGACAGACCTCAAACTTCATCAATTCATTACAGCCATGAAAAATATATTTATACTCTGAGATGTAAAATGTGAGAAACACAAATGTAGTTACATTTATTTTGCAATAACAACTGTCAAGATTCACTGAAATTACATCTGCTTACTGCTCAGGCTGCAATACACTAAAATACTGACTCAAGTATTAATGTCAGGTTCCTCCAATCAAGAAAGGAGCGGAAAACATTACAGATCCTGAAATAGTGGAAAGACAGGATTCAATACAAAAATGACACAGGACAGACTATCATTCACACCACATGTACTGTGTTCCCAAAGCAAGTAATCCCTCTTTAGCCTTCTGTAGATAAATGTTTCCTGAGATCTGCCCTCTGTAGGATGCTGCTTTAAGGGAGATCTTTTATTGTGTGATCTTGGTAAATAGACCTTGGAAAAAAAAATCGACTTCTATGGTTCTCCCTGAACATCCCTTGCTCCCCAGGCTGGGAAATGCACTAGCATCCAGACCACCAGTTCATCCTTAGCTACCTTCAAGGTGCTAGAGTCCAACACTGGAAGCCTCCACAAACCCACCTGAAACCCCCTGCCTGCCTTCTGCTCTTTCATACATCTTCTGTCTTGTCAAGATGCACTTTTGCACGTGTCCATCCCATCCTTGCTCACAGGTGTCTAGCACTCACTCCAGCAGAGCCCTGCACAAGTTTTTGTGCCCAAGGCACCAGTTGTCAGCACTTGGGACATATTTTCAAACTGAGAAAACCATCATGAAATGTGATTTGAATCTTTTTAAGGTGAGTTTGGAAATATCCCTCTGGGTCTAACAAGACAGACATGCACCTGGACAAGCAAAAAGGGTTAATTAAATCTGGGGGTGGCTCATAAATAACAGGATCTACATGCCAGCAGCAGGGCTGAAAATTAGCAAGTTTCAAGGCTTTTTGTCACACCGAGTGCAGAGCAGCTCCAGAAAAGAGTGCAGCCACGATGACCATGACATGATCCCCCTTCCTCAGGCAAGGAGATTTATACATTAAATGTTTGAGAAATGCAGTAAGACAAAACAACTTCACCGGAAAGGAGTTGGAATTGCCAACTATGAAATAAGGATGGTTTTGAACTACTGTGAATAAACTCCCACGTTTGTTTATTCTGCCCACTCATCCATGCCCCTGCAGAGCCGCTCATCTTCAGCTGCAGCACCTTCATGGCAACCACTGAAGTTATCAGGAGAGAGACTGGAGAGGAGGCAGTAGAGGGCAGATGATGATTCAAGGAAGAACCCTGACTTCCTGGGTCTTGCTGACAGTGATTAGACCCACTCTGGAAACAGCACTTCCCCAGATTCCTGCTTTAGTAAATCCCTGATAAACTCCCTACCTGTAAAGGTTGCTCCCATTGGGGGTGTTAGGCCTGGGAATTGAAAGAAGTCTGTCCACTGAATGCTGAAGTGGAAGAAAATAAATCCAGGGCACTCAAGGTTTGCACTCCACTACCTCCTCTTGGTGGAGATGAAGCCAATGGGGCCCGCGGAAGAATCCGCTACTCCAGACTGCACCTCGGGCTCTGGGCAGCCAGGCTGGAGAAGGGGTCAGGCCACATTCCCTTGCTGAGCTCCTGCCTGGTGCGTTCCCCCTTCCAGAGGCACATGAAGGAATTGGCCAAGCATTGCCAATCCCACTCAGCACCTCCTTGCAGCTGTACAGAGCTCTGGAAGGTGTGATTTCTGGACAGCAGCAGTGCAGAGGGACCTTGGCAAACTTCTGGGTAGTCTTGGTTTGCACAAAGTCTCCCGCCCCCATCCCTCCCTGAGTCTTCCTTGAAGTTGTGGACTGGCTGCTTTCCACAGAGCGGTGGGGATTAGAGGCTGTATGTGGAAAACTACCACCCCACAGGCTGGCGTAGAAACACAGCCAAAGTGATCTAACTTTGAGAATCTGGACTCCTACACTTGCAGAACGTGAGGACTGAGGGCAAGCTTACCAAGCACTTAAAAACAGGCAGTGTGTAATGCACTCAAGGGAGCCTACAAAGAGCTCAGCTGGTCACCGGTGATGCACTAAGGCAGTAAAGCAACATAGCTGATGGACTGCAGGTCCTTTTTTGTTGTTCTGCCTTTTTAGGTTCATATCTCCCCTATAAGGTAATCTTTACAGATGCACGCCTTCTAAAACCCCTTTTGTCTATTTTGTTCTTGCAAAGAGCTACCTTCAAGCTGTCTCTATTTGAATTTTCCTACTTCATGCAACCAATTTTGCAGCAAAATCAAGCAAATGATGGAAACACGCAACTACCCAATTGAATGGATAAGCAATTACAAACAGAACAAAATACACACTTCCCACCTCACAGGCATATGTGAAAGTAGCAGAAGACTAGAAATCACGGGTAGAATTCCAGATCAAATGTATCTGCATCTCATGACTGATGCAACTGAGTCAACTTTATGTAAGCATCAGCAAAGAGGGACCTCTCTTAGAGCCTCACTTCAGGAACAGGCCAGTACAGAGGAGTCTCATTCCTGCCCTGTGTGATTTATGGCCTATGGGCAGAGAATCCCTCCATGAGTACATGAAACTCCGAACTAAAATAAACATCAGCCATTAAAACAAGGATTAAATGCTTGGTGGATTCTTTATTTGAACAAACTGATGTTACGAATTTTGTGGTGCAGATGTTAAGTGTTAGTGTGAAGGCACGAGAGGCCATAAAACATAGGCAGGAGGCTGTCAGAAAAGTTTACATTGCAGGGAGCATACATAACCAAACTGCACACTAGCTTAGGAGTCAGGTGTTCCTGACTTAAGAACTCGGACAGATTCATGTGAAATATGAGCTGAAACAAGTCAACCTATAACATAGCATGTATATGCAGAGAGTGACTAGGCACAAGGGACATTACTCTTTCACCAGCCACTTTGACAGTGTGCTACATACTCTCCCACGCCAGAAATTCCACAAAATTCAGGACTACCAGGTGCCAAAAGAAGGGCAATACACCCCTGGACACTCAGCATGAAAATGCATGCAACATTGCACAAGCTCATAAGCTTTTAGTCACAGGCTCTTATTTTTTCATTAGTCACCTACAGAGTGACCAACCTTCTGCTGTCCAGCAGGCTCTCAATGCTTCCTTAAGATGGCAGAAACAGTCTCTACTCCTGTCATAAGCATAATACAACTCTGAACCCTCAGCAGAGAGCTCCTTATGTTCAGTGCTTTTAATGGCAACCTAACACACAGGCAATTCCAAAGCAACCGCCCCAAATGACCTTTTCCTATTACACACCGAAAGCCCTGTCAAACACTGCTTTTTGGCACGTTCTCCCTGTAACTGCCGAGTCCTTTCCTACTTCTGCCTCCTTTCCAACATATTTCCCAGACACGTCTAGAAAAAAACCTCCTCTCGTAGCTCTCAACTCTCAACTTTTTTTTCCTCCTTAATCTTCCTCCTTGTAATTTTAGCTACCTCACTCCATTTAAACCCAGAGAGTGTCTGGATGCACTTCAACAAAAGACACAAATAAAAGCAACATGGCAGTCCCTTGTGCAAGGCCCTATCTCTTCCTAGAAGTCCTTTCCTACTCCTGCTTTAAAAATCCTTCCCAGTTCTTCCTCTGGTAGGTCCCTGCCAGCTCCCTTTGCCCATGACCCTTGTAGCAACCCACTGAGGTCCCCACAACCTCTAAGCTACCTCTCCATCCTCCTGTGGGCCATTATTTCCATGCCACAGGAAGAAGGTGAGGATGTGCAAGCAGCACAAGCAGCTAGTATCATTTGTCTCTATGCCTCAGGAGCAGAGAGCCCTTCCTGGCACTCACACTAGGTGGGTTTTATTAGCTTCACTTAAAAACACAAATCATTCTCTCTCCAAATTAAGAGATAGCTTTGGGATGGGGAAAAGGGCTCCTGCACACAGAAACCAAACTTAGAAACTAAAGAAACAAAT